GCTGTGGCCAGGGACACGCTCTTTTGTTTACTTTTTCTTCTGTTTCCTCTACAGGCTTGAGTTGTATAGGAAAGTACCAAACCTGCGAATTCTGGCCTGTGGTGGGGATGGAACGGTAGGTCCTTGAAATAGAATCCAGTTCTTGCCCTTGCTTCTTCCAGCTCTTTTGTTTTCTTTATGACAGTTCTCTTTCTTCATTCCCACCTCATAGTCTTTCCCTACGACATACGTCTCTTACGTGAATCAAAGCCCCTAGGGTTAGGAAGGACTTTGTTACTGCCCTCAGGGATTCATACTTGATCTTTCTAAATTGTTTCACTCCCTCCACTATGCCGTAACCTTTCCTGTTCCACAAAGTCGGATGCGGTCAGATCATTAGAATGAAGATTACAGATGACTAAATTCTTTTAAAAATAGAAACTGACCTATTTCCATTTGTTCTTTTTTTTTTTCATTTTGCAACTTGCTTTTTAATCACCCGATCATATTTTTGATGTTTATCTATGCTGGTACATGTATTTCAAGTTCATTTATTATAACTGTACTGTAACACTTTATATATTATATGAACACACCATGATTTATATATAAATTTCAGCCCAGAAGCCTGTCCACTAGATTTTATAGCATAATATTTGCATGATTTTGTTACAAATTATCCATTTGTTCTTTTTTGTTTGTTTGTTTTGGGGTGGGTTGGGTCTTTGTTTATTTTTTGGGTGGGCATGTAATTAGGTTTACTTATTCATTCTTAGAGTAGGTACTGGAGATTAAACCCAGGACTTCATGCATGCTAAGCATGCGCTCTACCATTTGAGCTATACTCTCCCCCGTCCATTTGTTCTTAATAATTGGTCCCAGCTATGGAGGAGAAGTGCGTGTACACAATTGAATCACTGCTTTTTGCTTTTTTAATAGTGGAAATAGACCTTGGCATCCTGACCAGCATTGGTTTGCCTTAAAGATCGCTGATTGCTCCCCTTTGTAGTCATTTTTGAAGAAAAGGTAGAACTAGCCTGAAGTTGACTATCACAGGTGTATTTTCCCTCGTTTGTCTCATCTGTTTCTCAGTTTACCCTCTACTTGGCTGATACAGTTAGCAAAGACAAATCATTGAGAATCGTGACATTTAGATTTTGCTGTCCAGTCTTTTTACTTCTGTATTTGGAGTATGATCTCTTAGGATTTTATTATGAGCTATCTTTGTCTTTTCTCTAATCTTCCTAATTAGGATGTTTTATTCTCAAAGGTAGCAATGAAATCTTCTAATTTTATCCTTCATAGCACACGAGCCCTTATGTAGTACTGGATACACATTATATAGTAATAAACACAACCAGGAAAAAAAAAAACAATGATTCCACTGGTCCATTAAGATTTTCTGTGGAGATGAAAACATTTTCAGTATTCTTCAAGATTCTAGTATACGTTATTAGCTTATAAGATTCGTGTAAAGTCTTACAGCAGAGAAGCCAAACCTATATGACTTGGTTTAACCCAATCTTTTCTAAAAATGTTTGACCATGGGGATGTGGCTGGGGTCCTGAAATCATAGTTCTTCCTCTTAAGTCACCGTTACCTCAGATCCACACTGGTGGCCTGTTCTACCTCCATACCTTGGGCTTCACCATGGATTAGGTGTCCACCTTCCAGACTTCCCTGTTACCCATGCACCTCCTCTCACCTCTCTCTGTCCCCATTGCTGTCTTCCTTTCCTCCACTCAGCAGGTACGTGTAGGAAGCAGTGTTGTGGGTTACGTGGTACTGAGGCATTCTCTGCAATTAGGAAAAGTGTTTGGAAACATGGGATTCAAAGCAGAAAGGACAAACATGGGAATTCAAAGCATAAAGGACAAAGAGAGAAGAGAGCTGAGACCAGACACGTGTGAAGTGTCTGTCATTATGGAGTCAGAGCCAAGAGTTCTCAAAAGGGAAATGAAAAGAAAAAAGCAGAAGGACCACCGGTAGACTATTATATCAAGAAAAAGACAAAAAGGAGTTTCAAGACAGAGGTAGTGATTATATCCTTAAGAAGAGACTGAAGGACTACTGATTTGGAGACTAGGAAGTAACTGGTGGTTTTCAAGAAAACAGTTTCAATAGAGCATCAGGGACGAAACCCAGAGTGGGCGGGACTTGGTACCACGCTAATGAGTTCTAATGACCATATCAAATTATAGCGTTGAATCTCTATAAATACTCTCTGGTGCCTTAAATGTCACCTTCTTGACAGGTAGACTACCTGGTTCTCCTCCTTCCCTTACCCCCTCTTTTCCAGCATCTCTTCTTTAAATATACCGTAATTAGTGGGTATTCCACAAGGCTAAATATAACTTTTCATTTATGTTCTAGGTATCTTTTCCTCATTGGTACAGTATCTATGTTCCTGACTTTGGGTTTCACATTCTTCTACGTAACTCAAAACTGCACTAGACGTTGATGCTTGGATCTCTTACAACACCTGTGAAAAATAGTCCATTTCCCCTAGAGTTGGTGCATATTTTTGAACTAATTATTTTTGTCAGTGATAACCTCTGTAGTCCAATTGCCCAGAATCAAAAATTGGTGTATCTTATACCCTATGTAGAAGCAGGTTTTATTTTCTTTTACCTTATTGAAATAAGGTGTTTTTTGAAAGCTATATGGGATTTATGAAATACGTATCGAGATATGTGATTGATATTTTTAATTTTATCAGTTTAACATATGAAACTTTTCATTTTGAGTAGGGGCAGAGTTTGTATAAAGAGGCGGCACTCTGATGGGATTCATGAAGAAAAACTGTTGTCTCTAGGCAGGTGAAGGATAATTCCTGAGTGCCGGGTATATATTTGACTTAAGGTGATCGGCCTTTATTTAGTGAGGGCACCCATCACTGCAGAGGCTGTCAGAATTCGGGCGGTACAGTGACAGGATTACAGGAGGAATCAGAAATGGAATCTTCTTGACTGGTTAGGATGAGGATGTTTTAACCCTTAATCACATTAGTTTGTGTACAAAGTATTATTTAATATAGAGACATCTTGCAGTAATTTGGGAAAACATTCTTAGGCTTCAATATTACTTTCTTTATTTTTATGCTATTAAATGTGCAAAGAGGGTAGGGAGGTATATCTCAGGGGTAGAGCACATGCTTAGCGTGCATGGGGTCCTGGGTTCAATCCTCATTACCTCCATTAAAAAAAAATGCAAGGAGGCAGAGTGGTCCGTCTCCCAATATGCACTTGGAGGTGGAAGAGGTGGTTCTGCCATTATTGCTGTGGCTTTTGACAGGTTCCTTAACATCTTTTGAGATGTTCTAAATCTGAAAGGGGATACGTTTGGATCCCTAAGGGTCTTTGCAGCTGTGGCATTATTATAGTGTAGACCATTGCTGTTCAAGGGGACTTGCCATGTTTTTTTAAGTTTTCTAAAAGACACTTTAAAAAAGTAAGAAGCAGGTGAAATTAATTTTATAATATATTTTATTTAACCTGTATATCCAAGCTATTATTTCAACATGCAATCAATATAAAGTCATTAAGGGGATATTTTGTGCTTAATTTGTACTGTCTTCAGAATCCAGCATGTATTTTAAACTTACCCCACTCAGATTTGGATCAGCCACCTTCGATCACTCTGTCACCATGTGGTGCCAGTGGTGGCTACAGGGGACCGTCCAGGTGTAGTCTCTTCGTAACTGGTTTGCATGGTTCCAAGGTTGTCACATCGTTGCAGGTACCCTAAGGGCTGGCCCCATCTTTGATCTCTAGGCTGAGAAAACTAAGCACCCTGTGCCCTGCCTTAGCACAGCCACAGCAGGAAAGAATTATTTCCCTTTAACTGACAAAGACAAGCAGATAGTTCTGCACGCCCCCTCTCCCTCAGGTCTCCATGTCGCAGCCCCTCTCAAGAAGCCCCGTGCACCCCCAGCAGCCCTCCCTGCGAATGAGGGGACGGACAGTCTAGATCTACATTCTGTTTCCAAAAAGCTCAGACCTTGACTTTTATCTCCATTTCTTTAGGGCTGATTTTCAGCATTTCTTTTAACACAAAGTGACTTCGTAAACTACTAAATGCAAATATAAAAATATCAAAAGGGAGAGTCGTAGTGGACGTTAGGAAGGGACAGCCAGTTGTCAAATGCTGCGTTTCAGTTATCTTTGCGAATTCAGAAGTGGTGCCCTCGTTTTCCTTTGATTTCTCCACATGAGTACCCGTCCCTTTTCTGCCTGCAGATAATGTGAGAAGATGTCACGTGCATCGGCTGTGTTCAAAGAAAATGTCAGTGCAGGGTCCTCTCTGCCCCTCAGCCAGCTCTAATCTTTGCAGACTGCTGAATGCAAACATTGCCCCACGTGCACTTGGGGAACACTGGGTGGTGGTGACAGCTGAACGCGGCCAGGTGGTGGCAGCATTGGCCAACGGCTGCAGCCACTCGGCTGGGCGGCTTTGCCCAGGGTCAAAGCCCGGGACCCTGGTGTTCTAGACAGGCAGCCCTGCTTTTCCTAACACAAAGACAGGAAAATGACCTTGCCCAATCCAGATCATTTTCCTCTGTTGTGGTGGAAAATATGCCAAGTGCTGTGTGTTGCATTTAATTAATTTTAACTGAAGGGGTGCTGGGTGAGCTGGGGGAGATGGCTTGGGGTAATGCGAAAGCCCCAGCAAACGCAGCCTCTGCCCGCGAACCTGCAGTCTGGACTTCAGGGGCAGGTTCTGGTTCCCGGGAAGGGAGAGCCCCCAGTAACAGCTTTGGGCCGTAAGGGCTTTTATACAGCTTCGCTCTCCTAGGGGCAGAAACACAGATTATTGCTCACGGTCTTTTATATCTCCTGCTGTTAGTTTCTCTCTCTCTCTCTCTCTCTCTGTCTCTCTCTCTCTGGCACTTTTCTGCTGCGGTACCGCTTGGCTATTACTGTTTTTGATCGTCTATGAAAGAAAGACTTCATGACTCGAGGGCAATCAAAGGTGGAATTGATTTGTGAACTTGAGGCTCAACTTTAAGTGGAGAGACAGGAAGAAGGAAGGCATTTTGCTTCTAGGGAATTGGACCTTTATGGGTGAAGTAAAGAAAGAAGGAAAATACAGCTCCATCATAGCAGTTACTGTTAATTCAGTATTTCCTCATTGTCAGGCACATGCTAAACAGTTTCTACATGTTATTTAATTGATAAAATACTCCTAAGAGTTATCCTTTTTCACATAATGGGGAACTTAGGTTAAGTGACTTGCCTGAACTCACCCGGCCAGTATGTGATGGAGCAGAGCTTCAGACCCAGCTGGGCTCCCTCCGGCTGTGTGCCTTCCCTGCACCCCTGTGCTGTGTTGCCTTCCCAGGAAGCTGGTGGTTGGGTAGTGATCACGTAGCTCTCGGATGAGAAAAACTATTCAGGAGTTGTGCAAAGACACAGACCCACCTCAGTCAAAGTACTATGAGCCTACTAACATTGTGATTGTTCATGTGGGAATTTCAAGACACACACAAAAATCTGTGCTGTGAAAGGCAGGAGGCTTTTGATGACTACAGGTGTTACACTGTAATGAAATACTGAGATGATCTGCTTGTATTCAAGGGAAAATTAAATAGTGGATTAATTGGCTGTTGGAAAAAGGAGCTAGAATCTCTACATGGTTTTAGAGCAAATCAATTGACAAGAAAGGGGAAGTTCCTTTACATTCATATCAGCTGTATGTTTTCCTTTTATGCTTAAGGCCAAGTGCAAGAGGGGAAGAAGATGGTGAGGAATCAAAGGGTCTTGAGGGCTCCTGTCATTTTGGGGAAACGCAGCCCAATTGCAGGTGGATTCTTGGCAGCCTTCTCAGGAAACAAGAAAAAAAGAATAGGAACAGAACTTAAGAAGGCTTGAATGAGGACAGTTATACTGATCAAAGGACTATTAGAGGACACCTTATCAATTCGTGGGAGTTACGGGACATTTATTGCAAAGTTGTTTGAGCGCTGTTTATGTTTCATGGGCTGTGAGTGAATCTCTGACCTTCCTATGAGCGTTCTTCCTGGGATTTGGAACTTCTCTCTGTAAGCTCAGCATCAGAGGAGGTGGTTTGGCTGTGTGCTTTTCTCCCTCTTTCTCTGCGTCCTTCCACTATCCCTTGCTAGTAGTTGAGTGGTTCCCAGGACCCTGAGACCCGAGTCAGGTTCTCTGTAGGTGGCCAAGGCGTCCCATCCTGAGGCCACGTGGTCGGGGTGTTTCAGGTGTGTCAAGTGCTCAGAATCTGGCCCCGCTACTAGAGAGGGGCTTTGTCCCTACAGCCCTGAGGCATCTCTGCTTTCTACGGGTTGTGGCTTCAGGCAGTGGTTCTCCACCCTCCCCTCTGTCCTCTTTCCTACTGGCCAGGAGGGAGCCCCGCCCTGTTCATACACAGTCTCCTGCCAGCAGGGGGTGAACTTTTGTTCCCCATCATCAGCCAGAAGCCAAACTCCTTGCCTCCTCTGCTGTTTTTGCTTGGTTTGTTTCTGGCCCATGAAGATTTCTTTTTACCCTATTGTTGTGCCTAGAGTGAAATGGGATGTTGAAACTGTGAACTCCTAGTATTACCTTTACCAAGAAAAGATAGACCTATTTCAAATAAACATAAGGAACATAATTCCAATTTAAATCCACCTGAAAGAAAATGGGCTGACTTGTGAGTACAAATCCTAAAGGGGAGGCTGCACGTTTGACTCTCAGAGAAGTTTGTTAAAGAGACTGCCTTCTTCCCCCTGCTCTGTGTGGGATGTTGGGTTAGATTTCCAGTACGTTTCACTGCATTTCTGAGAGTCCCTGGTTCTGCTCGGGGCTGTTTGCATGTGCAGTCAGTGAGCCCAGATGGTTGGGATTTCTGAGTCTTCACGTCCTTCTTAATGCTCTGTAAACCCCTTTCTTGCAGTTTAGTTAGGGGTGTCGTCCTTTACTGTGTTTGGTCTGTGCTTCTAGCAGCACAGGAACAGTAGCCTAGTCACCTGAACAGCTCTTTTTTCTTTTACTTCAATAGCAGGGTTAGGGGGGATTGTGAATAAGAGAAGCACTAATGGTGCTGGGTCGGAATCTAAGGACTCGTGTGAAGTGAATCGCCCAGCCT